GCATAAAGGCCAGGGTGGAAGCCACATTGTAGTAGAAGACTTTCCCTTGGTTCCCAGGTCACCCTCAGCAACAAGATATCTTCCAGGATGAAGATAATGTATGGAAAATGTGGGGACAGTGTTCAGTATAGGGGTCCCCTGCAGCTATTGGCTCTCCCTAAGGCACAGAACCCCAGAGGACAGTACGGCCCTGAAACAATCAGTTCCCCCTTGTCCCTGTGGTTACTCACCATTTTGAGGCTCTTGTGGGTTGTGTGCGCTCACTTTGGGATGGGCACTTTCTGCTATTGTGTGCACTGTGCTTGTCTTCAAGTTTGGCTGAATCATTGCTCTGTCTAGTGTGGACAATGCTGCCTCTGTTAAATGTTGCATTTTGGCTTTACAGATGCAACCTTGAGATCCCAGCTGTCCTTGTTATCAACCGCCGAAAGGTTGCAAAGAATCAGGAAGCGTCCGCGAAGAAGCAAGGAGGACCTTCTGTATGACTTCATGCAGCAGTCCCTTATTGAAAATCAAAAAGTACAGGAGTGGCGGGAGACTGAAAGGAGGCTCCGCCAGGGGAATGCTGATGGCCGGCAACAAACCACGGAACGGCTCCTAAGCATTGTGGAGCAGCGCCAAGCGGATGTGATGCAGGCACTCATAGCACTGCAGACGGAGCAGATCCGCGCCTGCCCCCCCTGCAGCCCTTGTCCGAAAACTCTTTCCCTTGTGCCCCCATGTCACTGCCAACCCACTTTCCCCAACATCCGGTTTCTTATTGCCACCAGTTGTCTCCAACACTTGTAGCTTCACCACCCAGCCCTGCAAACTATGACCCTTACCCACTGCACTCAACCCCCATCACCATGAATTTTAGGCAGCCTGAAGTGCAGCACTCATTGCACGGCACTCCAGACAGGAAGGCTAAATAAGATAACAGGACATAAGCAAGTCTGTGATTGTCCCGTTCCCCACCCTGCCCCCTTCCCTCCTCCCACACAGCACAGGTGTGTTATGCCATGAGTCACAGTTCTTCTGAGCAGGATGTGATTAATGGCCCTGCACACTTGCATCAACACGATTCCAATGGTCGACTTTCCCCCTCTGAACTGGTTAGTGACTGATTGGTAGCTGTGTGGAGTTGCCAGCTTCCAGATTGCAATAGCCACGCATTTCTCCGCTGGCAGGGCATCTCTCAATCTTGTGTCCTGGTGCCGCAGGGTGGGGGCGAGCTCAGCACACAGTCCCATGAAAGAGGCTTTCCTCATCCAAAAGTTCTGCAGCCACTGCTCGTCATCCCAGACTTGCATAACGATGTGATCCCACCACTTAGTGCTTGTTTCCTGAGCCCAAAAGCGGCGTTCCACTGTCATGAGCATGTCTGTGAATGCCACAAGCAATCTCGTTTTGTATGCGTTGTGTGTAGACATCATCATCGGACTCCTCACTGTCACTTTGTAGCTTAAGGAGTAACTCGACTGCAATTCGTGATGTGCTGGCGAGACCCATCAGAATATTCCTCACAAGTTTGAGATCCATTCCTGCAGACCGAAAGGGAAGATAGAGCGCGCAGTACAAAAACTGTGGAAAGATGGCGCCAAATGTGGACTGAAGCACAGGGATTGCTGGGATGCGAAGTGATGCATCACGGGGCATTGGGACAAGACCCATGATGTCCCGCCCCCCCCCTCCGCTTCCCACAAGCCACAGCGTCAGAATGGGAAGAGGTGCTCTGTGGGATAGCTGCCCATAATGCACCGCTCCCAATGCCACTGCAGGTGCCACAAATGTGGCCACACCAGTGCGCTTGCAGCTGTCAGTGTGAACACAGGGCAGCACTTTCCCTGCTGAGATCTCCGAGGGTAGGTTCAACTCCCAGCACTCTACATCTGCAAGTGTAGCCATGCCCTTATTTAGTAATCTGAATTCTCAACCTACAACTATATTGCGTCTTAAGGTTTTGAGACACGTGACCGATTAAAACTCTTGCATATAGAACTTAACAGAATTTGTGTAAGCGAACAATGATATACAGATATTTAAAGGTACTGGGAATTCTAGACACAACTAGAGAAATATAAAGGACTACTATTTCGTGGGAAAATATCTGTTTTAATTTAAATCAATTTCCTTTTTACGTCTTTTATCATTTTTCTTGATTTCTTTTGCATACCATTTGTGAAACGTTATCAAATCAGAATGGTAGCATTTTTACAGCACTCATGTTTGTAATGATGCCCTATCTGAGTCATCTGTGGGGGTTTGAACCACGGATTCCTGGGTCTTAAACCACAAACCTCCAGTATTTGAGCTGAAGCACCAGGACCAGTCACTAAGATTGTCTGAATATCTAATCTCAAAGGTGGTAGCAGGTTCAATAAACTTCTGTGCTTGGTCTAGCCAGCAGAGGGAGACAAAGCCATTTGGTGCAGGTTATATTCTGCACAGGTGTAAATAACTGTACAATATGCAATACAATGGAGAATCGGGCTCAATGAATATTAATTTTAATTTAGCTTAGGTAGACCAACTCCATCAGTGGTGTGTGGATGCATATGAACACATTTTGAAATAAACTTTTGAATGTCTAATGGCATTTAATATTTGGAAGAACCCTTTTAGAACAACTCAGAACTAATTAGGAATAACTACTGTAATAATATGATTATGAGGGTCTTGTAATCAGATGGTGGCTCATGATCAAAGGGAAACTAAGTCTAATGAATAAATAAGTATGTGAAATGAAATCTGAAGAATCACTTTTACTGAAGTACTGACAGGAGGAGAGTAAAAGACTTGCCATTCATGTAAATTCTCACCCCCAGTATAATTTTTTATCTTTCTCCCCCTGCCCCCGTCCCCCCCCCTCCAAAATCCCTAAAAGTATTAGATTATAACACTAACTTTTGTTCTTTGGGGCAGTTAACCCTGGGTATTGGATAGGGATTTGTCGCTCTTATGCTGTGTAAGAGAACCCAAATTATGTTGACTCGTGAAATGAGTCTTGTTTTAGAGGTGTATTCTGCCTGCACCAAAGATGGAATACTTAAAGAGAAAAAAGACTTTTTAGGATTTCTTTTTTTTTTTAGGTTTCTGGAGCTGGCCTATGTTGCTGCTTTTTCTCTATCTGTAGTATATGGAATGTCTTTATTAATAATTTACTTATCAGGTTCTTCTCTCTTTTTTTTTAAACTTATTTAAGTGCTGTCTTGTAAAATGGTTGTTGATTTCTATGAACTTGATATCAATTTTACTGGGATTTTTTTTTCAATGTCTGATCACAAGCTGATGAATTAAACAGTAAACTAAGCATCTTGGAGATTACTGCATAGACCATATATTATGTGTAAAATCTTTTGTTTCTTCATTTAATATGTTGTTTCATTTCAACACAAAAATAAACCACATGTGGTGACCTTAGCTACAAGCCACTCCATTTCCTGGGCAGCTGCTGCTACATGCTGCCTATCTGACAGACGGGGCTAGGTCATGGTTACCACAGGACACCCTTATGGTCATAACCAAGTTGTAAATGTCACTAAGATTCTTTCTGAATGTCTGTCACATGTGTATCACTGATTCTGAAGTAGATAAAATGAGCCAAAGATTCATTTGGGAGTTGGGACTCCCAGAAGATTACTTTTAAAGCAGAATAGCAGAAGGAGTTGTGACATGCATCCATAAGCAGTTGGAGTGATTTGACAGTTATTTAGCCCTCAGTTACTAGCCCTTTGGTTGAACTGACAGCACGCCTGCAAAGATAGTGAGGCCTGTTTCAGCCCCATTAATGTCGTCTTGAATGTGAGCCTGCAGTCTGGAAAATGATAAATGTTCAGTGATTGATGATTTTATAGTCCCAGGGGATTCTGGGTGGTTTCTGGTTGCTGTGAGCCTGAGCAGTTTCCCCCCCTCCCCACCCCGCCTTACTTGGGCCTCTGCTTTAAGTTTGTGTAGCATTTAGTATGAGGAAATTTAAACAAATGAGTAGCCAGACACTTTAAGTTAAGCAAGATTTTACTGAATATTGTGCAAAACTTTCATTATGAAGCAGATGCAATTTTGAGAGCAAAGTCCTATTTAATATATTTTTGATTCAGTGTAATCCTTTAACCAGATATACATATGACCAGTCTGTGTGGCTAACACCATTTTCCTAGTTAGGGCTCAATATTGTTTGAAAAAGATTAAAGCATTCTGACCTACATGGAAGGAAATTGAATAATTGCCTTAATGGAACAATATGTGCAGCTTGAAACATTAAGGGGTTTGCTACATCCATTGCTTGTTCTCTTCATGGTTCTGGAGCAAGCTATCAGATAAGCCAGTATTTCCTGTTTACACATGAGTCATCTTTCCAAGCATATTAGGTTAGCTACACTAATATTAGAAAGGGTGCAAATAACCTTTTATTTTGAATGCTTGTTTGCAAGACAGGTGGCAGAGCTGGGTTTCTAAGCTTAATCAGTTCTTGTAAGCAAACCTGTTGTAGATGAGCAGTGGCATTTAGTGCTTGATAGCACTAAAATGCCTATTAATCTGTAACCTTAATTTAGCCTTCAAAGGGGGAGCAGTATTTCCTCTTCTCATTCACTGGAATACATTTTCTCCTCATGCCAGACCTTATATCTTGTGCTTGAAGATGTGAACAGTAATCTTTAAACTCATGTCAGTCATAACTTCAGCCTAACACTGTACATTTCAGGAGAAGCTATAGTGCTCTAGCTGCAAAAAGATTGTAATACTTCTATATTATTTAATTTTTGGAAACTTTATCCATGGAAACACAACTTATTAGGTTGAAAAATGATGCAGCTTCTTTTCAGATGGGAGGGGGAGAGGAGTCAAACAGTATGAAATATGGGCAGAGTGTGTTTTCCACAAGATATTCAGACCTGAAAGCCAACTTTATGATGAATGACCATTGCAATGCTATACATTTAATTAGGAGAGTGTCATTACACTCAATTAGCAGGGCTGCCAAATAATCTGTTTAATACTCTGGTCTTTTTTTTCCTTAGGGTTTTGCAGACAGCCCTCATTATGGTGATCACTTGAATGACAGTCGATTAGGGCCCCATGAAGGATTGTCCCCGACACCTTTCATGAACTCAAATCTGATGGGTAAGTTGGTAATTCTTTGCGAGTAGCCCCTCAAAGCCTCTTTGGTCAGAAAGAGACATTTTTCATCCCCTTGTCTAGGCCTGGCACATCAAGCATCTGGAAGTTACTACATTTCTCATGGAAACAGTGGTTTGCTATCTAAGTCTTTCTTCATAGAGCAAGTTCCACTAAAAATGCAGCTTTCTTAACACTGGGACATTATCCATGATTTTGGAAAGAGGTTGAAGTGCCAGTATTTTACATAGCTGATCTAGAAAGCTATGGATAAACTGTGATTTCTTACAGTCTGGAAGACAAAGCACTTCTATAGGGTTACCACTCGTCCGGATTCCCCCGGACATGTCCGGCTTTTTTCAGTTAAAAATAGCA